TTTATTTTATATCTCACCCTACTTCCCCACCCTCCCCCCAAAAATGTGTACAGTAGCTGCTTTCAACCATAAATAGCAAGTTTAGAACACAAATGCTGTGTGGAGGGATCAGTAATTCTGGGTTCAGTAACCTAGCAACAGAATGTCAAGACATTCTCATCTGTACCCTCAGCTGCCAAGAAGCCACACTCCCAAGACCCAAGGCTGCAAACCCACTGCTCAGATCAGGTTTGGCTAATCACGAATCGATACTGGCCAGCAAGGGGAAAATCACCAGACAGAAGAGGCTTTCCGCTGGGCTCCAAAAGCCCGCGGGTAAAGAAATAGGAACAGGAAGTGAACACACTACTGGGCACTGGGGCCACAGAGTTGCCAGTCAGGATGTGGCCCTGGGAGGATCCGAGTGAGCCAGCATCTATAACCCTCCAGCGAGCAACACCTCACATACGTTTTATATGCCAAAGGCTGGACACAGTTTTAGTGAAAATGAATTTTAATTCCATTACCAGGAACGTTCTGCTAACTGAAAGACAAGAAGGAGAGAAAGGGGCTCTAATTTTTTTTTCTAATGAATTAATGTAAATTGAATCCTCCTCGTCAAGACGTGTTGCCAAAAAGAAAATGAAGACACTCCGTCCCTCCTGCCGTTTCGTTTGGCCTTGTCACCCCTCAGCCATCTCGCTCTGACATATCTGGGTTTCTAGGGGCATCTGCAGTGAAGGGTCGTCCGTTTCTTAAAGAATATACATATTTTATTGGTTTCCCTTCCCTACCTAATAGTGAAGGTCATGGTATAGGAAAGCAGCATAAAACGTGTTTTTTGAATCAACTGTTCCAGCAGCGGCAAAAATAAACGAAACGTGGGAGGCTGTTTATTTCTATGTCAAAGAGAAAGTGAAATTCTCCATAGGGTGACACGATCATTTGTTTTCCCCAATGAAGCAAACAAATCAAATAAGAAGAAAACAGGAGCCCAGCCTTCATCGTTCACGGTAATGAGTTCTTGCTAGATTAACCATTCTTCCTTGTTACACTCACTCTGAGAAAACCACCACCACCACAAAAACCAGACGAACAATGACAACAGCCAACAGCCAAAGGGCATCCATCTATCAGACAGGAAACGCAGCAGCCAGGCTGGCAGCCTTTCTGAACGCTGGCTGACCCCCGGCCGGTGGCTCTGGCTGCATGTGCAGGAGACGGGCTCCCCGGCAGGACACGTCTTCAGGTAGCAGCAACGATCAGGAGGACCTGTTGGTAGCAGGGTCCTCGGACAGGGAAACCCAAACTTGCCGAGGCTCTCCAGGCCAGGAGGCTGTCTAGGGAGTGCGCGTAAGGTCAAGAATCTTAGACTTACTGAAAACACTAAGAAGTACCCAATGGTACCTCTCTCCCTGGCGAATCAACCACCCGTTATTAGGTGGGTGGACCAACAACACTGTGTCAAGAAGAGCAAAGACAGAGTGTGCAAGGCTTGCGGGCAGCCCTGCCCACGGGCCTTAGGGCAGTCTATGAGATGGACGAGGCCACCACACTAGCATACAAGGAGCACCCAGTTCAAGCCCTGACTGACTGCGTGGTCTGAGGTCCTAAGCAAGAGGTCTGGCCAGCAGGATGGGTGATGTGGGTGCTCCTGGGTCACGCAAGTAGGGGGAGGTGCTGAAACTGAAAAGGAGCGTCACTCTGGCAGTGATGCTCGGAGGACGGCAGGCAGGCAAGCATCAACATTTTCGGGGGGAAAACGAAGACAAGAAGGACAAGGAAAATGGAGACGGGCTGGAGACAAGGCAGGACACCTGCTTCACAGTCAAACAGGCATGGAGAGCCACAGAAGTCAGGGCACCTGCTGCGTCACAGAGGCCAACACATGGGTGCTAGGCCATCCCTTTACCATGTGTGGCGCCCTCCACGCTGGCTCTGTCGACCTGCCAGGGTCTTCACCAGATGGTTCGGGGGACGCTGACACCACAACTCTAAATGCCAGCAACGTTAACCCGGACCTAGGGCTCCCCTGGAGACGAGAGGGAGGGGAAATGCTCCTTTAGATAAAGGGGCAGCCGCCCCCATTTTGATTTCCTCTGCTTGAGAGTAACGGGGTCTTAGTGAACCAAAAAATGGGTAGAGGATCCG